AAAATAAATAAAGGAATTTTGCAAAAATACTGCAAAACAGTATGTATGGAACTTGGTCTCTTTTGCATGGCTTGCTTGCAGAAGTCTAGACGCTGAACCCAATTTTCGACGGCTTTCAAACATAAATCGTCGCTGGCTTGTTGACGTGGACCACAGATTTGACGTGACCACACAGGAAGTAGTCTAGCGGCTTCAAGTCTACCGAGGCGGCCAATTGACTCTGCCATTTCGTCACTGAGAGGTAGCGATTCCCATTCACAGTAATGTGCCGGTCTTGATCATCATGGAAGAAGTACGGTCTTTAAACCTCATCAATTGTAATTTTTTCACACATTTTGTCACTCATGGAGTACGTGTGCCTGACCAATAACGCATATTTAGCCAGAAATGAGCCTCATTGCTGAAAAAGATTTTTCGATGAAAATCCGATTCATTTTCAAGTTCTTGCTCAACCCAATTCACGAACATACCACCATTCTGGTTTTAGGTCAAACAATACTATGAATCCATCTACTGAAATTAGAAAAGGAAAATTTAGAAATGATTCATTAATATTTGTACAATCTTCAAAGTTTTACTTTTCGCCGAAAGAACCTGGTTACTTTTACAGCGTTAAGGGCAAAATATTTAAATTAGTGGCTATAAATAAGACCACAAAGCTACTTGGAAAGGAAGTTCTGAATTTACAGGATTATTTTGAAACATCTATCTCATCCGGAATTCTCAACATCAAGTCATGTGAAGTCCTAAAAATTTCGTCTTCCGTCTATCATCACAACTTAGATGAAATATCGGAAAAAATTATAAAATTTAGTAACTACGAGTTTAACATCAACTTGTTCATTCCTTTCCTTCATTAATTGTTTTTTTTTTGGGATATTTAAATATTTGTAAGCATTATTTATTAATTCGAACATATAAACGTACATAAATTATTCGGACAGAAAATGGTTTTTAACCACATCATAGAAGAAGCATCAGAAAATACTCCTGTAACTGAAAAAGGTAAAAAATCGAAAGTATATAAAGGAGCATTCCAGCAAATTTAATGAACTGGTAATATTTTTATTAACCAACAGACTATCTAAATTGTTAAACTTGAACTCAATGCATATCTTTCCAGAAGGAGGAATTTTTCACAGTATCTGGCTACACAGCTGAAAAGTTCGTAAAAAATGTTTGGCGCCAAATTTTTACCGATGGTGTTGCGCTGAATTTGTGTTGGAAGGGTACGAAGGATAAAATGGCTGTGAGACCCTTAAGTGTAACAGTTGTCTTAAAAAGTATACTTTACTAGCCTGGTCATTGCAGGCTGAATAGGCACCTATACAACATGGACCTATCCGCCAGCGCAAACTGCCGGTTCTGCGACAGGGAGCCTGAAACTCCGGAACACCTGCTGATCGACTGTACAGCTGTCTCTTATACACATCTAGATGTGTATAAGAGACAGTCCATATACAGTTCAAAAATGGAAGAGATTGGATAATARCCACGCCCACCTCCCATACAAAGGTTATGTTGAAAATCACTATAAGTGCGTTAACCAACTAACAAAAAACGTCAGAAACACTAATTATGGAAGAAATGTCAGAAGGAAGCTGCATCCAGGCTTTTTTTAAAAATTGAAAATGGGCGTGGAGTCGCCCACTTATGAACCAAAAACCATATCTCAGGAAGTACTCCACCGATTTCAATGAAATTTGGTGTATAATATTTTCTTAACACCCTGATGACATGTACCAAATATGGGTGAAATCGGTTCACAACCACGCTTGAAATCTCTATTATCACTTTATCATGCAAGAGTATAAAATGTTCGGTGACACCCGAACTTAGCCCTTCCTTACTTGTTTATGAATATTTTTGTGTTTGAATTTGGATTTATAATTTTAATAAATTCACTAGAATTTAATATAAAGACTTTTGTGTTGACTTTTTGCACACAACTATATTAATATTAATGCAATGAAAAATTAGGCAATATGAAATAAAACTATTTTAATTTGAAAAAAAAAAATTTATAAACGAAATCAAATAATAGCTCCAAAATAATCAAAAATCAACATTACAATCGAATTAGAATTCAACCTTAGAATACGATCAGATAACTAATATTTTTTTCGATATCGAGAACTAAGTCCACTTTTTGTACAGAATGCTATAGTTCTCGACAGTTTTTCTTATAGTTTTCTAACGTTCTACCTTAGAGAAATATATTAGAGTTCGACTCGTTCTCTAATCATTCTCTAACTTACATGTTTGCTGGGTTGTATATCGCTTGATTCGTCGTGATATCTGTTGCTGATATTCTGCACAGTAGGTCAGATATTTGACTCTTGCCTCAATATCTGAAAAAGTGGTTCGCATTACTTGGACGTAGCCATATAATGATTCATAAAGGGCGTATCCCTTCATTAAGGTCTTGATCAGACGACTGCAGCTAAGCACTAGTCGCTTGTAAGCGTTCTAGGACTTTGTTCCACGTAATTGTCATTATTCCCGTTTCTAACTTATTCATCGTTAAAAGTAGTCCGTAAGCTTTATTACGGCACTCCGCTTTTTGATCTACGTTATTGAAAATGTCTTCTAATACTTGCTTAATAGTGATAAAGAAACCTAAAAGTGCCTTCGTAGCATCACTTCGGGCTGACCACCTAGTGTCCAATAACCGTTTCAAAATTAGAATTTTTGACAAAGAATCTTTAAGTACGTTCGTAAGACGACCCCATATATAGGTAGAAGTGAAAAAAAAAATTATAGAGGTTTTCAAAGAAATAACAGTTTTATGTCAAATGGTAAAGCTTAGTTAAGGAACTTTATAAATTTTTGTTTATTGGATCCTTGTAGGTGTTGCAAAAGTCCGGTTACGCCCATCTGCAATACCAACCGCCTTTGTGTACTACATTTAATCACGATTATCGCTTGCACGGAGAGGCGGGCGTAGAATATAAAAATGCAGTCAATGCAAAACATTTATGTAAACCAAAATGCACACACATGCACATATTCAGAGTACATACAAACCATTTAATTAAAGGGAAAGGGAAACGGAAAGGGAAGTGGCTTTTGACGAGAATGCCGTACGAAAACCAGAGTGCTGCGAGTTGAAAAGGTGAATAAACAGATAAACTCTTCATTATGCCATTTGAAGAATGTACAGGCAAATAAATGCAAAGAAAGGAGAGGAGATGCTCTTCCCAAATGTGTTTTCACACTATGCGAAAAAATTGTATTTAGTGTTGAATGGTGGCACGAAAGTAAACCGCCTATAGCTGTATCAAGTCTACAGTGTTGCACAAAACTGTTGACCAGATTTTAAAACTGATTGTATATATTTACAAGACGTCAATATTTTTCGGAAAATGTAGTAAAATATTACTTTTATTATAAATATGGTGATCCATTTTAAGGTTCTCTACTTTGTTTTAAAGAAAAGAATACAGAAACTTCAAATTTAACAGGGAGTGTTTATTATTATTTCATAGAACATTCTTTGGTCCATTCGTTGATTTCTAATTTTGATGACTCGTTTGAGCCTTTTGACTGGTAACCGGCGAATGACTCGCCTGATGTTTTGCTACAAGACCTAAATCGAAACGGGATTCTCCGCATAGACTTTAGGATTTACATTTGCCCAGAAGTAAAGGTCTAACGGTGTGATATCACACAATCTTAGTGTGCGATGTGTGAGAAGTGACGCGGTCTTGTGGAAGCCAAATGTCGCCGAGATCACGATTTTCAATTTCAGACTTCAAAAAGTTATCATTTATGAAGTAATATGGACCGATGGTTCCACTGGCGCACAAGTCAAAGCAACCGTTGTTTTTTTCTGGATGAAATGACAGTTCTTGAATCTCTTCACGTTGCTCTTCGTCCCAAATGCGACAAATTTGCTTGTTTACACACCCATTGAGCCAGAAATGGGCCTCGCTGAACAAAACACGAAACCGTCGAATCTTCTTGGAACTTTTCAAAAGTATTTTGTATGCTTTGCTATTAAGGAGCGTTAGGCTTATCAACAGCATTCTAACATTTTGAAAGCACACTATGTATGACGTGACAGCCAGCCGGTGTAACCTAACCTATTTCTACATTTTCCCTGTATTTTTACTTCGCACACTGTAAAGGAGCCTGTAATTGCCAAAAGTTGTACAAAAGTCGTACAAGTAAAATATGTGCCGCGAATACTTCGTGGTTCCACCAATTTGTGTGTAGGAGAAATGGGGTGGAAAGTTAAGAGCACGTATAAAAAATATAGGCTAAAACAATTATTTACAAAGGAGAGCTAAAAGTGATGAGAGCAAAACGAGAGAGTGCGCATGTTTCGTAAATACACATACATACATATTACACAGTATTGGCAATGAAATTGGAAAATGAGAATTTTTCACCAAAAAAAAAAAAAAAAAAAAAAAAAAAAAAAAAAAAAAAAAAAAAAAAAAAAAAAAAAAAAAAAAAAAAAAAAAAAAAAAAAAAAATACTAAACGGGAAACGAAGGAATGCAGAGAAAAAAACTGGCATTTCGTTCAACAGTATGCGGTCCCGGCAAATTCAGTTCGTTTTATGAGCTTCGTGTGGGTACGTCGCATTTTCACGGACGCAATGCAGAACGGCGAGTTTTCACTGCAATAGTTGTGGCACGCGCAGAGTGGAAGAGCAAACGCGGAGTGAGAGCGGGGCGTGGATTGTAGTGAAAATAGAAAATCKACTATTATAAATGGGAAAAATCGCAAAAATATGCAAAACATATACAAATCAGTAGCATTAATTGGATTTTACTAGTGGCTAGAATTATGAAAGCGAATAAGTGCGTAAATTAGCCAAGTCAGCGCRGCTGATTGCTTATACGCAGCATTTCCGGAGGGGTGAAGTGAATAGTGAATTAAATCAAGCGCTTTGTGTGGCAAATTTAATTGTGTGAATTTTATACAAAATTAATTAAACAAATTAAACAAATTTATGCAAATACAAAAAATATAAATTTAAAGAATAAATAATTCATCTAAATACAACAACATTGCTGGCATTGAAGACCCGTGAAAATATTGAAGAGCATATAMATACATATATAGTTAGTTTTGTATGTGCGCATAATCACGGCAATTGCTAATATTTGGCGGCGTGCCATTAAAAGCCAAAGCGGGCGGGCGAAAGGCGCTTTTCTGCTGAAAAAAAAAAAACCCCGACAGCATAGAGGCGCAGAGGCCGAAACAAAAAGCAAATAATTTATCATACAACCACATACACCTACATACCAAACTTTGGCAAGAACATGAGGTGAGTGTAGATAGTAGTAAGTTTGCGCCACAAAAGTGCGGCAGGCAAGTGCCACTGCTCTCTTATGTACATAAATTATGGACATGGTGCCTGAACCATCTTGTTTCACGTTGATTGCCACCATAATCTTCTTTATTCTTCTCTAGCAGCGCATCAATGCATACATGCATGCATGTATACATACATATAAACATTCTCATCTATACAAGCAGTAGCAATCCTGGCGTGCCACTTGTGGTTCTTCAGTAAATTTATGCAAAAGTATGCATTTTTCCTTCCACTTTTCYGACCAATCCGTAGCTATTATCTTGTTGTACTTTCACTGAGTGGTGATTTGACGTAATTAGCATTTTGCTGTCACTTTTGTGTCGGTATTTTCATGCCTACAATTAGCATTTGCATTAAACTAATCGATAAATTGATTTTTAAATTTGACCGCCACCAACTTATAGCTGCAGTTGTGAGCAAAATAAAAGCATGTCTATATATCATTTCATATTTCAGAGCCTACTCGACAAATTTCAACCCAATTCTGTACATAATAATATCATAATATCATAACAATCTTTACCGTAACTACTTCTCAATAATGCATTCTAAATTCTGCATAAAACATATTGCGAATAATATATTTGCATTTATATTGTGACAAAAAAGTGCCCGGAAATTGTAAATAAAACGTGAAATATTTAATTATTTATCAATAATTATTTTGTCGCCTTCAACTGACTAAAAACACGCGTACTTCCCATATAACACTATTGCAAATTTCATCAGATTCTTTCGCTTCCCAGTATGTAATTCAAATATCAATGAATGCATCGGGATAATATTTTACAATAATAAAAAATGATCAAAAAGGGACTATAACTGCTCTATTCCCCAGATGCCGAATATGTGGACCCCAGTGCGTATGGCTAACTTTTTACCGAAAATAAAGGTCAATCTGTGAAATATAATTGTATTATTGAAGTTTGGAAAAAATTATTTCATCATAATAGTATGTTTGTGTGTCAAAAACAAATTTGAGCAATACTTTCCTTAGCCCCCATATATCTTATATAAAGCTTTTTTGGCTGAATGGGATGAATACTTATTTTAGTCCCCATAAACCTAATAGAAAGCTTCTTGAAATTCCGGTTAACTTAATACCTCATATTTCGGCCAATAGGCCAGTTTCATTAATAAAATTGAGTGCACGTGTTTTTCGAATACTGCTGCATCTATATGCCCAAAATTGATAAAATCGGGTGAACATTTTTTCTGGCCCCCCATTAAATTTATATCCGAAATTTCAAACATCTGGGTTATCTTTACCCACAATACAATGACTTAATGACTCAGAGAGCATCGTTTTCTATTAATAATGTTTAGCAGTAGCAATATTATATCAAATCAGTCAATATTACCACCACTTCCATATACCCCATTTAAGATTCCGTTTGTTTTATAACGTACATATCGGTTAATATGTAAAATTAACATACGCCGATGATATTGATATGATTGACTTCAACACGCACGCCATTAGTTTTACTTTCTCCAGACTGGATAAGGAAATATCTCCTGTCGTCAAACAAACAGTCGTTGCATTCGCGACTTGACTCACACGTCACTGTTGACAGTCATAACTTTCAAGAAGCAGATAACAATAACAAACTTCAAATCCAACACAGAATCACAGGTGCTACTTTGGAATGATTAGGCAATTGTGTGGTAAAATCTTCTCTCCATCATATACGTCCATAAGTCCCTCATTATTCGCGTCCAGCTATACGACGCGGAAGCATGGAGAATGACATCATCTGATAAGTAGGCTTTAAGGGTGTTCAAGAGAAATGTTTTGCAACGGAGAATACCACAGTTAATGGAACGATAAGCTGTACGAGATATACCCCGACATTGACATATCTCAGCAAATCAGTCAGACGGCTAGGTAGGTCATGTTGTCCGGATGGGAGAGAACACGCCAGCTTGGAAGGTTTTCGATTCAGATGGAAGAGATCTCCAATCCGTTGGAGAGATGAGGTGGAGAAAGACTTGGCTGCACACGGTGTCTCGAATTTATCCCCCATCGCAAAAGGAAGAAACCGCGCAAGCGCTGTCTACGTCAGTAAATAAAAAAATTAACTGAAAGTATAATATTGGATATAATCTCGAAAATATTTGAAATTTGCCTGCGAATTACCAAATATGTTGGCCTTTGTATGAGTTAAACATTTATATAGTAAAAATGTTTTAAAATATGTTCTACCGTTTATACATAGGCAATGTTAACAGCCAGTGCAATCAACTTAGACCGTTGCTGCCTCCAATATTTTCTGTGCAGTGATCCCACTTTTCACCTGACCTTAAATCGTTTACGTTGCTCAAAATGTGAGATAATTTAGCGAAAATAAATGGACAATATAGCTAAAAAACTTTGTTGTTTGTTTCTTTTCTCTACCCCAGATTTACATTTTCCACATCAACTATATTTGTACGTTAAATTAAGTCTGTTCTATTGAGTTTATGCCACATATGACAAGTATATCTAATTTGAAAATGATTTTAATTGGATTTTCCGTGACGTGAAGTAAAATATAGCAATCAAATTAAGGAAGATGATGCACTTTAATATAACTTAATAAAATTACAAATGTTATCCATTCATGATTTCGTTGAATAATGAAAGTTGAATGAACATTAAATAATGGCAACACCTGAAGGTATTTGACCGGTTTTGGTCCTTGTAAGTTTCAAAAGTCTGAAATGATCGGTTTCTCACTTCTTTACTACTTCTACTAATATGAAAAACATTCAAATATTTCACACAATACTGTGCATATGTCTTTTGTCTGTAAGCTAACTAAGCACAATAATGCATAATAGTGTTATCGATGTAACTTTTGTATGTAAGTTAAGCTTTCAATACGACAATACATGTTCATGGTGTTGAGTAAGCAGATAATTATATGTCGTGCATTCTATCGCAGTCCTTACTTATATGTCTGTCCCTGCGGTACTATATTGCTAAAACATTAAGCGAGATAAACATTTATTTATTATTAGAGAACGCAAATGGAGAAGTTAAGTTAAAAAAATTTCATCTTAGCTGCGAAAGCCTGCAAGGAAAGAAATATAAAAGGAATAGAAGGCCCCTTTTAAAATTGGTCTTGGTCGGTAGAATGGTCTTTTGAGTTAATATTTTTGAGAGTAACTTTGTTTTTCAAATTTTTATTTAAGATCGCTAAATTCCAATTGTAGCATCTATTGAGTAGAGATGTGACTACGAGCTGGCGATGGTCTTGAAGCAAGTGTCTCGCTAATACCTGTAAGTATGAAAAAATCTTGATACTTCTCGCAAAGCGAGATTGAGCGATGGTTTTGGGATCTGCCATATGAAAACCACCTGCAATGAAAAAGAGACATAATAGATATCCTTTATTGGTAATGTGCCGCTGTCCAACTCGTTGACGTCCTCATAAAAATAAAGGCGGACACATCGTTCAACTTTATTACGAAAATTCAGGTTCTGTAAAGAATGAGTTTAGCGCGCTTCGCTCAACTTATGGTAAGCATAATCGGCCTACTGAGCCTACTATTCGCAACACCATCATCACCTATTTTGAGAACCAGCATTCATTATTGGAAAATATTGCACAGAATATACCATATCCCGCAGGTAGTAAAGAGAACATAGCAGCCGTAGCTGAAAGTATTCACGAAGACTGTGGAGAATCGATTCGGCGCCGTTCTCGACTTCTTAAATTGAAAGAAGCTCGACCTGAAGCTGCCGACGTTCTCAAACTATTGGAAAGTTCTAAGCAGATCCGAAATTTTCGAGTAAAATTTTGTTCAACAATGAGGTCAATGAGTACGTAAATAAGTAAAACGAGTCATCGAGAATTGGACACAAGGGATACAGCATCCGAGACGTAGCCGCGGCGAACGTTTGATCTTCTTCATATATGAATGACTCAACTCATAGAGATGTGAAAGTTAAAGGAAAATATTGATTGCTTCCAATAATAGTGAACATTATAGTTATCAATTACAAAGTATATCTCTATTATTAAATTCATACTAATAAGAGAAATCTTGAGAATCTTGAAATACATCTGTGTGTAACGTTCGTATTTCATGCCACGAACAAAGCTTGTAAAAGCTCAAAGTATAATTTTCACACTTGCTGGCATCATATCAAGCTCAACCGTAGTAAATTCGCATTTAATCAAAATAATAAAAAATTTATATGTGTTGCTGCCATACATCCCTGTACAACCATGCATGCATTCTATCCATTATGTGGGTTGCCGTGAATTTTTAGTAGCAACCGGAGCGACGGAGACGCTAGTTGCCTACTTACCATATGCAATTAGGTTTTGTTGTTAGGGAAATCCGCCAGGATGTTGTGAAAAATTGTTGACTGATGAAAAGTGAGAGTCTGCAGAATTAACACGCCAAACAATAGCACTCACAACATAGTTTATACCTACATACATATATAATATACCATATGAGTCTTACTATACTATAGAAAGTGTAATGAGGGAGCAAACTACTTAGTGCTTCCTTGTGAGGTTTCTTATGACAAAGAAAACACTCTGTATGAAATATGTATGTACTATATATATTCGTGCAATTAATATTAATATATTTTTATCGTTGGGAGGGAGTTTTAGTTCTTGACAGTTTATTTGCAGTTAATGAGTCTAAAGAAGATACAAGTACTAAAAATTGAAGCATTATTGAGTAAGGAATTAAAGGCAAGTTCAAGCGAAATTTGATATTAGATATCGAATGCTTTCTAGTTTTCACAGTACTACTTTAATGCAACATATTAATTAATGAACATAATTGGAATAAGGTTAATTAGATGGTTGCAATGGTCACCAGTTCAAAAAGTAAGGCTTTGAGCCAAACGTATTTGAAGTTTTACACTTTACACTTTTTACACTGTAGGCAAAAAATAGTAAAACTTTTTAATTTAAATTTTACGCGAAAACTTATTCGTCGAAATATTTTTATTTTAAATCAGTGACATCTGTGCCAAATATCACATCAAAATAATCATTAGTGTTAAGTTATACTCCTGCCGTACCAAAGTACATACTTAAAATGCATTCGAGGCCTTTTACGATGGGTGAAATTATTCAGCAAAGAATTTCCAGTCAATTTTGTTGCGGAATCAAATTTTTGATATCGAACCGTTCACAAAGTTGGAAAAGACTTTCTGTGGTAATTGCTTGTCGCAAGCAGGTGTTTTTGATTGGTACAAATTATTCAAAGAGAGTCCGTGTTGACGACGAATCACGCCTAGGACCGTTACCAACATAAACTGCTGATCAAAACTTCAATAGAATAAAGGAATTTATGCTTGAGAACCGACGATTAACGGTCACGGATGTTACTGGCATCGTTGGAATATCAGAAGGATGAGTGAAAACCATTTTCAAAGATCATTTGGGCCTAAGAAATGTAAAAGTACGATTGGTTTTAAAATCACTCGATTCATTCGAAAAACAGCGTGTAACAAAACGACAACCAGGATGTCATGAAATGACAGGCGATGAGCCTTAGATCAATGCTAACGAATCGGTAACAGATGATTCAGCGGCCGAATATCGAAGCCGAAAAAAACACTTCGAAGCAGGTCAGAAATTAAGGTTATCTTGACAGTTTTGTTCGATTATAGAGATGTGGTGCTCTCCGAATTCCTTTCCACCGGCCAAACTGTCAACAAGGAATACTATTTGAGTGTTATGCGTTCTTTGGACGAACCTAATCACCGGAATTATGGGTCGACAACTCTTTGTTTTTGCACCATGATCATGCACCGTCGTATACTACATGGATTCTTCGTGAGCTTTTTGCCAAACTTTCAACAAATATTGTGCCACAACAACCGTATTCGACTAGATTGCGTCCGTGTGACTTCTGGCTATTCAGCAAACTCAAACGGCCGTTCCGGAAAAACGGTTATAAGTCAACTGAAGACATTAAACATGAATCGCTACGCATATTAATGCAATTTCAAAAACTGACTTTAACTTTAGTTGTAATCGAAAAAAAAATGGTTAGTTCAAGTCTTTAAAAATTGTATCTGAAAGATATGTGTGAAATTTCATGAAGATCGGTTGAGTACTCTGGCTTGAAATCGATTTCAAAAACACAGTTTCGAGAAAAACGCGTTTAAAGACGGCACACTCAGCCAAGCTTACTATTACTCAGTTCAACTAGAAAATTTAGGACAATATTGTAGAGGTGTGGTAAAATTTGATAAGACAATAAAAAAAAAAAAAAACAATACAAATTTTTTGAAACCAGTAGAGCCATGTAACCCCTTAACAATTTGTTTCGAGGATTTGAAAAAACGTTATCACAAGTTTATTGGGGCCAAGGAGGATTAATTTAGGAGACGACATAGATTTTTAAGAATAAATTAAGAGTTTTAAAATTATGAATAAAGTCCTACTATTTTTTGCCGACGGTATTATGTATGGTGTAACAGCCGTCCAGTTCTCTTGAATGCTTTAAGTTTTTCCTCATCTCGGTTCGTCACCGTCCATATTTCTGAGCCGTTTAATAGGGTATAAATAATGAGAGACTTATAGAGTGTCATTTTTGTGCATCGAGAGAGGGACCTGTTTCTCAATTGCCTGCCGATATCAAAGTAGCACCTGTTGGCAAAAGTTCTTCTGCTCTTGAACGTCGTGCTTAATTATTGGTGCAAATTATGCTGATTCTGAGACTTAGAAAGTCTTTAACTTTTTCAAATTTATAGTTTTCCTTTCTTGTCGATACGTAATCATGGAAAGTCATGGGTCCATATTGAATTTCTTTTTCACCAGTCTTATTAATAACATCTGCGAACACAGGTTATTTTCCAAAATGATAAATTTATGATAATGAAGAGTTGACACATTATATACATATGTATTAAAACAAAAAAAAAAAAAACAAAAAAAATTTTCACCGCTTAGGCGTTACCTGACGTGATATAAAAATCATTCATACTCTCTGCAAACTAATTAATAACTTAATTTCATTCTATTTGCAGTGAGGCCAAACTTTTTGACGGCAGTTCTGGCCGTTTGGCGCTCGGTTCAACAGTCGTCGTGTTCTGTCTGTTCTACAATGACGCTTGCGGACCGGCGATAGTGTTTGCCAATTTCCTCGCCTTCACCTATGGCGCAATGGCAGGTGAGTGGGCAATACTGCCGCATATAATCACAAGTCATCGTCGACAAATTTTAATTTTCTTTTGTAGATACTTTTTGATATGTATGCTATTCATTTTACTACTAATAATCATTACCACTAATAATAATTAGCTCACTTAACGAATTTTTGCCCTCTCTTTATGCACAGCTTACTGCAAGGCCCATTTGAAATCCCTCCAAATCCCGTACATTCGGGCAAGCAACAAATTCGACTACACCTGCCTGTTTCTGGCCACGTGGTTGGATGTGCTGGCGGTGCTGTGTGCCTGTGTCGCCCTGGCGCGTACCATGAGCACCTGCTTGGATGCCATGACGGGCGGCATGGCGCACATACTGATTTTAGGTAAGCCAACTACTGATGAATTAACTTATTATGCATATTCAGATTAAATTAGAAATTGTGTTATGTTTACTTTTCGGTGGCACTGTGTGCAATTTTATCTTAACACATTTGCTAAGTCAGATTTTTGGCATACTTTTAGGCCGCAATTCATCGCCGTACGAGCCGTGGCCGGATGTGCTGGGTGTTGCCGTCGTCATTATAATTACAGTTATGTTTATGCTGGGACTGGACGTGAGTACATACTTCTGAAGATATTTACATATTTATATATACATATTTTAGTGATTCAAATGAAAATCGAAGCCATAATACCCTTCAGAAATAACGAAGTTTTCGTTCAATAACTTAAGATTTCCTGTTCAGTTCCAACTTCATTGCTCAGTCCATTTCTTTCAAATTTTAACACACTTGTAGGTTACATTTTTACATTTACTTGAAAATTTATTACTACTCCTGTTTATTCCTTTTAATTCTAACCCGACAGCATTCAAAAGTCTTCCATATCATCATGTGGTGCGGCGTGATCATCCTGAACTTGTGCCCTCCGGCCGCGACTTGCTGGAAAGGCGACATTTTGGAGTGGACCCGATATTGGTTTCGGCCAGACGGATTTGTTAGTGTGAGTAAGCGCAATATGCATTATTATATCATACACCTTTGTATGTGTTGTGATCAAAACTGACCCGAACCGGTTCTTTAAAACGGCGATTCAATAAAAATGTTTTCCTGGACTGATGCAAACTTTTTTACATTCATGTTTGATCGCAATATTTTTTGTCGTGCGATTTTTATCATATCATAGTAAAATGAAATTGAAAAATCAGTTTGCTGCGGCTACGAAATCTTTAAGTTTGTTGAAGAACTGTTTTGGGCAGTCCACTATATAATGAACATAAATATTTGAGTGGCACAAGCATGTAGTGAAGGGTGTGATGTCATCAAAAATTTATCCCATGCGAGCCATCTAATCACCTCTGCTAATACTGATAACTTTGAAAAAGTTAAAGAACCAGTCATCAGAGATAATAGCGGATCTCACCATTTCTCATGGATCTACTCAATAAGTTTTGGTTAGTGTTTTCGTTATGAAGCCTGCCAATGCTTGAGTCATGCCAAGAGAGAATCTTGAATAAAACTTAGGTCGAGTAGAGGGCATAAAAAAGATGCTTGAGGACAGTATAGTAAACGTGGTGCGAAACCACCTGCCTGAAATACCGATTCTCAACCAATATTTTGGAAATAAATTTGTACGATTTGCAATCGGATTAAGCCTATGAATTACGAATTGGCAGACCATATTCAGTATATCTCAAGCAAAAGTCTTTTTCACAGGGCTAAGTTCGAAAAAAGTTTTGTCTAATTGAAAACCATACATTTAAAAACAACACCCGTTATATACTCTGTATAGTGTATATCGTCACCTGAAATTCAACATAACGTATCACCAAAAAATTCGAAATTGAGTGTCTTATTGATTACGCTTCACTACTTCAAATTACATACATAATATTACATATATTCAACATTTTTAGGTTCTGCGATCAGATATAAACCAGTTTTAATCAATATTAAATAGTTTTTTCACTCATCTTCCATTTTATTTTGTGTTTCATTCATGCCACTGGAAACAATAGAGCAATTATGCACCGAATTAAAGAAAGAGAGCATTTCCCAACGCCGAAGATCAGAACCTACAAACAAAATTTAAGTCCTACAAATAACGAAATAAATGCCGAATTGTATGCAACAGATGAGGAAGAGCTTGCCCGCGAAACAGATTGGATTTTGGAAAAAAAAGGCCCAGTAAAAAAAGGAAAGTTGAACTATCTCCTCAGCTTGTTGCTCCAGCTACAACAAATACCATAAAAGAAGTCGGAAGAAATAAAAAAGGAAAAAAAATCTCACGACCTCCTCCAATAATGATATCGGGTGACTGTGAATACCAAAAAATATATAACATTACGAATGATGAGGCGAAAAAAGCATTTACTATCAAGCTTCTAAATAATAATACATCAGACTCTGATGATTACAGAAAGTTAACCAAAACTCTGTCTACACAGAACTTACCGTAGTTTTCTTATGACAATAAGCAATCTCGTCCAATTAAGGTAATGGTTAAAAATTTACATCACTCAAACGAGCCAAAGGCTATAATATCAGACCTTCATAAGAAGGGATTCAAAGCTATAAACGCAGTCAACAAACTGAAGTATAAAACGAAAGAGCCGTTAGATATGTTTCTTCTTACTTTCGATGCAACAGCAAATATAAATAACATATATGCAATAAAAACCATATTGCATTCAGTTGTTGTCATTGAGGCCGTAAAACAGTCAAAGCTCATACCACAATGCAAATTGTGTCAATCATATGCACATACTCACAACTACTGTGATAAGCAAGCAAGATGCGGGAAAGCATAAAACCTAATCACAATCAACCAAAATGTTGTAACTGTGGTGAGGCTCATCCCGCTAACTACAGAAGATGCGTAGTTGCGAAAGAACTGCAAAGGATTCGTGACCAAAGAACTGGTACAAAGAAAAACAATCCACGTCCTAAAAGCTCGGTTGTAAAAGATACCAAAAGCCTCCTAAAAAACTCAATACGCCAACCAATGGCTGAAAATAAAGTTTCAATAGCAAATGAGCTAACTTACTCGCAAGTTGTAAAAGAGAACACTTGTTCAAATGATGCTAGCATTCTTCAACCAATCTTACAGAAGCTTACAAAACAAAATTAGTTTATCATTGCACTTGAGAAGAGGCTTCAGAAGCTCGAAAAAGCAGTACAAAAAAAAAAAAAAAAAAAAAAAAAAAAAAAAAAAAAAAAAAAAAAAAAAAAAAAAAAAAAAAAAAAAAACAATAAATAAATATGACAAAATTCTTAAAAATTATGCTACGGAACGTAAACGGCTTTACCAAACACCAAAATGAGCTAGAAACAATACTCGCTACTGAAAAAATGGACGTATGCTTAATATCCGAGACCTATTTTAGCAAGCAAACTTACACTAAATTCAGAAACTTCGACATGTAACATGGCAAAATTCTAGTCTACAAGTAGGTGTTCAGACCAGTTTGGACTTATGGGATACAACTTTGGGGCTGCTCAAGCCCTAGCATTGTTGCACAAATCCAGCGATTTTAAAACAAAGTTTTAATCGGATCTCGGAATTGACTCAGTTGCTGCATCAATTAAAAAAACTGCAAAGTCTCATATGGAAAGACTTTCTGACCATGTGAACACTGGAGCCAGGGCCGAAAATGTTGTTACGTTATTTTGCATTTCAGGTGACGATATGTACATACATATATATATTTGTTTACTTTGTCGTATTTACGTCGCCAATGGTTGGGTAATTTGTTGCACAAGTTCTCGGCGCCCCTTTGACTTACGACCGTTTGTAGCAATTATTCTGATTTGCTGTGGTTTGCTGTTTGCAAATCTCTCTCAGCGCGCTTTCTACAATTGCCAACAGCGCGGTGCATGTTGTGTGTTCACTGGTGTGGTTTAATGAATAGAAACCAAATGCATAAAGAAAGATGAGAAAAACGTAGATTTGTGCGCCAAAGCAGAAACCATTTAAATTTGTATACTAAAGTGAGATTCTAATAATATAAGAAGAGAAGAGTAGGGTAATTTAATTAGTTATTGCTAGTATGGTTAAAAGTATATACCTATTTTAGATAAAATTATATAATATTTATATGACAACTTTACATAAATCTATATATATATAATATATTTTCTGTTTTTACAGCTTCTATTTCCGGCGGCGCAACTTTCCTTTGCTTATCCCCGAGAGTTGCCACTGCCCAATTCATTTCTTGAGCGTTTCAAGGGGTTTGGAAAATTCTTCAGAACTCTCTTTATCTTGTGTTTGACGATAGTATCCCTGTCGTTTTTGGTTCATCATAAGTAAGTAAGACTTTAGTCAACAATTTTTTAAGAGCATCTGCTCGCTTTGTATTATTAACCTAGAAGTTAACCTAAATTGTTATGAAGCCTTAGACTTTGCCTTCATAGAGAAATCTGTTCCTAATGAAACGAAGAGCTGTTAGGTTAGGTTAGGTTAGTAAAATATTCTGATTTCACGTGAGACCACAAATAATTCCACTTAGACAGCTTGAGACGCCAATCTGTTGTGATGCCCAGAACTCATAGGTGGGCATCAAAAAAATGGTCGTACATCGACAAAAGGACAATTTCACCCAATTTTTACGTAAAAAGTATTCCAACCGTGATAGTTCAGCCTTAGTCTGGCTAAATATGGACAGAGGAGAAGAAAGTGCCTAGATGTTTTCAATTCATTTTCCTTCAAGCAACTTTGTCAAGTTCCGTCATCATAAAATGTACAGGTTAAGACCTGTATGGAAGTCATGCATACCTCCCTAAAAACCGCATTTCGGAGAAGTATAACCTTACCTTAATGGCTTCTGCTTTAAAAACCCTACAGTCTGCTTGGCAGTCTGAAACATTGTTCATACAAATAGGTTTTTTTGCGAGAATTCACCTAAATCTTGAATATTAGTAATACCCTTCTTAGAAGGATGTCCATGAAAGTAGGGTTCTGGAAGTATTGTGTTTTTTTTCATGGAACTCTCTTAGCCTTCTTTATTTCGGACTTGTATACAGCAAGTCCTGTCTTATACAGCATCCAATCACCGCTAGAATGGCTTTTTGGGTTTTTTCTTTTGCTTTTCTGAGTTTTTAGAGAAAATGAGCGGTTCTGCACACAGCATTCAAAACATCGACAATACCGCTGTGAGTACTGAGTCGCAACCTGACGCGACCAGAACAGCTGTTCGAAGCTCGCATAAGTGCTCAGAATGCCTCGAGTTTGCATTCGCGGCAATTATTGCCCTCAGCTGGAACTGTCCTTAACAGATCTGGAGGTGATTCTACTTCGCCATCATGAGGCATGTAGATCGATACCAATCAAAGTTCGCTACCACCGTCCTCTAGGCTGACGGTGGCGACATTCTCGTTGCTGAAAGGTGGTCGAAGAAGAACACTAAGCTCATTGCTGACAAACCAACAAACATTGATTCTACATGTTTTATTTGTCGATAGCAGCTTATGCCTTTTTACTTCAACCGAGAGTTGGCGTTGCAACTCAGCCATGGTTCCTGAATAATGGCAGCGTCAGATCAGGGATCCTTCCGACTTATCATAGGGGCACTTGGATACACTTATAATGGTGTCTGTTTTCATTTCCATTTAGATCCCATCTCTCCCGTTCCTGCTAGAGTGGATAACTTCTATTTAACCATAATTTAGGCTTCGAAGTTGTGTGTTCAAAGAAGTTATAGGCAAAAAAAGAATTAAAAAAAAATTATTATAAAAATTCTCCAAAATAACTTTTAAACTATTTTCTAATGTTATCTATATTTATATTAGACGACAGCATATCAAAGAACCTCTCCGATTTCTTTCTTTCAGACCAGTTAACGAATACATTGCCAATCCATTCCTCAACTTTCTGGACGATATTACCTTAGGCAAGCTAGTGCCAGCCGCTGCTTGTTTGCTCATGCTAACCTCATCAGCCGCATACTTGGAACTCTTTCCAGAACTCTACGGTTTAATAGTGCGTTTCGCTACCTCAGAATGGAAGGTGCTCTCAAAGCACATTAGCTACGAAAGTTCCGAAAGCGGTAGTCCCGTATTTGCTATTTTTATAAGTGGTGGGTGTTAATGACCTAACTCAATTAGTTTCTTTGTGCAGACATATTTTTTAACGAATTTATTACTTTTACTTTGCAGGCAGCCTCTGTGCTATGTTGGCCTTTGCGTGTCCAATGCAACACCTCATCAACACGCTGGCGGCCAGCCATTTAGCGGCAGGCTTCTTAAGAGCTTTTTACTTATTGTACATACCAGTCCGTCCAAAGTATATACAACGTTCCGGTAAATAATAGTTTCTATATAATAGTTATGTCTTAAACTAATTCTAATTATGCACCGCTAGCAGCGATTTCGTCACTTGCATATAGTCGGCTTAGCACGGCAGCCGCCGCAACGGCTTCATACAAACGTCCAGATGCGAAAAAGACCAGTAAGCGGAGCATACTGGGTGTCAACGTAGCCAATATAAGTACAGCGAAGAAACCAGCGCCGAAGAAAAAACCAAAAAAGGAGTTAGAAAAAGAATGGCTCTTGCTGGGTGAACCTACATCTCCGTGTCCTATACGCCAACCGACCGATGTCGAATCCGCAATGCAGTCGAGCAGTAAACCAGTGGTACAATTGTTGGATTCTTTGCTTTGCCATTCATAATAATATATTTTCTTCTTTGAAGCCTTTGAATTTCATTTACCCAGAGGTAGTCGAGGTCAGCGACTCTGACACCTCAACAGATATTGATGCGATTGTCGATGAATATAGACAAAAAATTAGGGTAAAATAAATGCGTTTACAATAATTAAACCTTATCTAGGAATTTTTTTGTGCATTTCAGATTACAACTTCGAGCCTAATCGATATCAGCTCGCGTGTTCCGACGGTACTATCTTGGCGCTTTGCTTTGTTGATCATTTCTGTTGTAATATTTGGCACAGTTTCATTCGCTTTCAATAGTATGCAGCAGAACCCATATGGCGAGATAGTCTTCGGCTGTGGTAAGTGTTCAAATATAATGCTGTGAACTTATCTTCGGAAATATTAATTTCCAATGCCTTTAGATATAAGTTTAGCTCAAAATTGGCTCAGAAGATGCAACTTCTTAACAAAATGTCCCACTTTTGGTTTTCACTACTAGACTCCAGTAGGTATTCCTCTTCTTTATTGGCGTAGACACCGTGTACGTGATATAGCCGATTGTCAGGGGGGTTTCAAAACCCAGCGCATAACTCGGTCGAGAGATCTGTCGTTTTCTCACTATAGCTCGAATTCAAGCTTGAGCCATATGCAAAAGAATCGCTTCCAAGTGAATGGTGCTCAGAGAACTTTACTCACTTGCGTGAACTTGTACTCATGATTCCAGCGTCGCTCTAGGTATTGGCTAGATATAATGCTTGTGAAGTAATCGAGTGTGTAGCTCGAAATACTTGTCCTATGGCTCCACAAAATGGAAAAATATGGTTTTGAGAGTTTCGTAGATACTGGAAGAAGTCTCGATAAGCGTTCGGAAGACCCTTAAATATTGTCATCTGCCTTCGTTGTTGTGTTCAAATCATTTGGTGGTCTTAATGAATCTATTTATCTCCGTTATGTTTTTTGTAGATAGACATTCAAGGTTTAAAACCAGATGGATTTCAATAATTCTATATCGAGCTTGCGATCAAACTGGGCCCTCACAACAGAAGTGAAGAACTGGGTCTTTACATCCTTCCAGTTGGAAGTTGAGGCAAATGTTGCTAAGGTAATGTTCTCCAAATGGGGAAAGCCTCGTTATCCACATATTCCATATATACTTTTCTTTGGCCTATTTAAAAAGTTCTTGGTTCTTGTCTTTCCATAATTTGGCAAATTTTGCTGCGCTCCAGTCTTGCTTTTTTAGATTTCCATCTTTTCTGAGCTATTTCTTCAAATTGCGTATTGAGTTTTCTCTTGATTGCTCGTAGCGTCGTCTAGTGAGGTCTAGTTTGCTTATTCATTGCCGAAAATATCAGTAAGCTTAAACCTTTCGTACATTTGCTGACCAAACTGGTTTCTTTAGCGATGATAACGCCAGCAAGAATCCTTGGAGTAGAGCTTCGTCGGTATATATTGAGTATTCTACTGTCCTACTAAACCTCCCTTCATTAACGTCTGAAGGGTATTGTCTTCTGGAAATCACTTTTAAACTAAAACCTTCGGACAATTTGGTATAATTTATTTAGATCATGTCCTGGAGCTGATTTAGAGTATCGCTATATCCGTAAATTTTCTTGTTGCAACTATCAATCTCCTTGATTTTTATAACAGAACATGTTGCTACTTTTCGTGTAAAGATCTCTAAGTTCAGTTGTTGTAGGCGCATTTTAAGCGCATTTGTCTGACGTGATGATAACGACGATAACCCCTGCACAACCTATTTTTAATAATTTCCGGATATTATATTGTTTATTTAATCTTGCAACCAAACCAATGCTCTATATATAAGAGTAATCCAATCGATGGCCGTACACATCAATATGACTATATTTCGGGACTCAGTTCATGCAAAGTATTCTCTTGCACGTGTAATATGTCATTTAAGCTTCTTCATCGTTCGTTTGTCGTTCGTTTATCAATATTAGTTTGGTATTGATCTCAACCCCTAAGTATGTTGTCGTGTGGAAAGTAAGATAAAATCGAGGTATTTGGTCACTGGGATTAAATCCTAGTTCATTCTTATCGAGCTATAGATGTAATCTTCTCAAATATCTTTCCATCAGCTCACTGATTTTCGATGGAAACAATATTGACTTCATTATGACTATATCGACCACAGAAAAAGCGAGGAAAAAGCGCCTCCACCCATCACCGTATATTGCTGATCTCTAGGGAAGTACGTGTTCATAAGAGCCGAAAATGATGCTCCAGCATTTATGGAAGATGCTACGATTATATTCTTCTTACCTTCTTCTTCTTTACTGGCGTAGACATCGCTTTCGCGGTTATAGCCGATTTAACAACAGCGCACCAGTTTTTTTTTTTTTTCTTTTCGAGTGTAGCCATATCCTTACCCAGTTGGTCCTTCCAACGGTGTGGTGGTCTTCCTTTTCCTCTGCTTCCGCCGTCGGTTACTGCGACGAATACCATCAGAACTGGAGTGTTTTCACCCATTCGGACGACATGACCTAGCCAGCGTAGCCGGTGTCTTTAATTTGCTGAACTATGTTAATGTCGTCGTATATCTCATACATCGTTCGTCGTTCCATCAACTGCGGTATTCGCCGTTGCCAATGCGCAAAGGACCATAAATATTTCTCTTGAAAACTTGTCACGTCGACTATCAGTTGTCATCATACTTGCCACGGCACCATATAGCATAGAGTGACTTGTTGCATTTAGTCTGTGTTCCTCGAGAGATGAATTTACTTCTCATTTGCCTACTCAGTCCAAAGTCGCAGCTCTTGGCAAGAGATATTCTGCGTTGAATTTCGAAGCTATCGTTGTTGTTTGTGTTCATGCTGGTTCCAAGATAGAGGAAATTACAACTGTCAACTGTGACGTGGGAGCCAAGTCGCGCGTGTTACGACTGCTTGCTTGATTACAGAAAATTTTTCGTCTTGCCCTCGTTCACTACCAGACCCACTTGCTTCAACTGGTTTATTTAGTCGAAAAAAAGAGTTTCATATTTTTTAGTTTTTATATCTTAAAGTCTATATAATATATTATAAGTCCGCTCTTTTTTATATTTTACAGGAACAATGATACTTAGTTCTATGCTATCATTGGTTCCACGCCACAAGGCCGGTGTCATCTGTTTGAATCCCGTTTTCTGTTGCTGCACCCTTTTGACCAGTTGCGTTCTTTTTGGCGCGTGTTCGTACTACGTCTGGCCGGCAATTGTCTTTTGGGTGATTGCTGGTCTCATGTTATTACTGCGCTGCGACAATTGGTGTTGTGGTTGCTTCGAACATAGTGGTGGCACCATACAAGAACAGCTAATACCGAACGATGCGCCGAAAACAATGACAAAGTCGACGGCAATACACATACCAGGCCCACCAACAAATCCAGTAACAGTACCAACTTTAGTGAATACGAGCAGGTGACAATTAGAATCCTCAGAGAGTGAAGACCTGAATGTGTGCGATTTCATAGAGAGCCGTAACGAAGATGACGAACTTTGTTGGAGCGAGTAGAAATATTGTAAAAATACAAGAATAATGAAATGTTCAAACAACTGAGTACCTATTTGTGACACCTGATTTATAGTATTTGGAGTGAAATGTTGTGCCGCAGCCGTAGTCATAGTCATTGCCGTCTCCGTAATGCCGCCTGCTTGCCTGAAACTGCAACCGAGTAGAAAAAGCATATTTTATAAGACAAATCCTCATCCGAAATCAGGCGAAAAACCTACAGTTTTAGCCAAAAAGCTGGTGTATGAGTATTTATACTATTATATTTATATGTATTGTGTGCTTAATTTTAGTATTTATTTCAGATAAATATAAAAAGAATTTAGAGCACTAGGGTTTGTATCTTGAATGATCGAATTGTAATACGATTAACAGTTATAAATATAATTTCGAGTTAAATAATATTGTATGTCATATGTGTTGGAAAAACAGTTTTATAAAGAGTACTTGAAAAACATGTGTGCTAAATTTAAACTAATCAAATACTTCATAATCATCTGGACTCATCAATTTAATATTTGAGTTGAGAAAATTAGCTATACGAGCAAACTCAGTGTCGAGTGAAATATAAAAAATGACATAATATAAGAAAATAAATTTTCGAAAATATCAAGAAAAATATTTTAAATTACACGACCAAGGCGTTTTTTTATGCAAATGGCTTGCTTAGAGGTACATACTTATATAACGGGTGACCCAAGAGAGGTACTTTTTCAATAATCAATTCGGCGCCATTCGCAAAAAATTGAAGTGAGGTATGAAACGACTTGACGCATTTTACGACGAGATCTTAAATTGAAAGTGTACAAAGACAGCTGGTTCAAGAACTGAAGCCGCTCGTCCTTCCCAAGCGACATAGCTTCGCTCTAGAGGCTCCTGAAAATTTCAAATTTTGTTCAACGATGAGGCCCATTTCTGTCACAATGGGTATGTAAACTAGCAAAACTGCCGTATTTAGGACGAAGCGCAACATGAAGAGAAACAAGAGCTGCCATTTCATCCAGAAAAAACCGACGGTTTAGTGTGGTTTATGGGCCAGTGGAGTCATCGGTCCATATTTCTTCAAAAATGATGCCGGTGAGAAGGTGACCGGCAATGACTACTTTTATAGCGTAATGATAACTGTTTGATGCCTTATGCCTTAAATAGATTTTAGATCAAGAAATGAGAACTGCATCGTGAACTAGGATCTATTGTGCCCTCTCCTAGATCACAACGAATCACTTAGCCCCAGCATATTGATAAATTAGAATATAGTATGCTGCTAGGTGCTATTGGACTGATGTGATCCTTATTTGGAAACATGGATCCAAGGATGTTTTTTCCTGTGCCTGCAGACTGCTATGCAGTCACCTGCTTGAAGCGAATCCGCCTAGAGACATGAGGCGAACATTCCTCCAAGATATCGACAAATATGGAACAATATACCAAGCAATATTCGAACTCAAAATTAGAAGACAGCGGCTGGGAAGATTTGCCTGGACGCAGACCGACCTCACTGGAATACGGTTCCCATCAAAACAGCGTCAAGCATCAAAAATTGGCTTGCTTCATTCCTGGTCGTCGAGTGGGCACAGTTCTTAGGAGATGGAATGTTCAAATTTCCCGATAGATGGACAAATATTATAGCTCTAGATGGGAAATACTCAGAATGATGCTTCATTTTTAAATAAACGTTCAAATGTTGGAAAAAAACACACAAACAAAAATATGGTTATAGACCCAGTACATATAAAGATTTTCATAACTGAGTTTCTGGAACCTTGTGCTCATAGACACTTTAGTTTAACGTCAAAGCGGTACTTCATACCAATTGAATTTTCAATTAGTCTCCACCTAATTTCCCACAGACACTTGTAGTATGATAAATTGAAAAGTATGTACGATAGGTTAGGTTAGTATGATCATGAGCCGCGCCTGACCTATTATGTCCCCTGGCAATCTAGATGGATTGCCGTTACGTCGTATATGACAAATACTTAGTCATCCCTTAGGATGCTTGCACTCTACAGAGTGCTAGTAGGAACTTAGTGTATTTCGAATCTATCGCTTTATACATAAAAGTTATAGTTTTTACTCATATAAATCCTTCCATCGTGTCAAATGCTCGTATAGACGATGCACGGCTTTACCGAAGTCGATCACGTCTTCAGGTGACATTCTTACACCACACATGACAATCGCGCCCAGTATCTCATTGTCCCGGATAACTTTATGACGTGAAACGCAGTAGAGTAAAGTCGTTTGTTTCTAGCGACACGCTACACTGCTAGCCTGCTTTCCAAGGCACTTCTGGCCAACGTGGTTATAGCCCTAACAGTTGTTTGGCTGCCCAGATACTATATAAGTTTACTAAAGCCTGAAATATGCTGCAGTGGTTTGATAGCTTAAAATTATTTCTCATTATTTCATGTAGCATAATATCATGAAACAGTTTTTAGGTTTAAAAACTAAAATATAATTAATAATTTCTGTATTTTCATTTCTGATCAACTACAGCATAAGTACCTACTCAAGAGACATGTATTCTAAGAGTTAACTGATATAAATGATAATTTCTGCTGATACTTAATTTGTTGATACAACTTTTGTAGACGTTTTGTCACTTTGAAGCACTCCTAATAATAGCAAAACACAATGATAAGCCGGGAGCTAATTCGTAGATTGAAATAGCGGAATGAGATAAGGTCTCGCTGCAAATGTAGTATCTTATATTAAATATTAAGATAGTTAGTAGCAGCAATAGCAGTGCACTTAAAACTTTACTAGTATGTGCTCATCTAATAGACTAATTTTTATATGTATATGCAAAAAACTAAAGCGATCGTGAGTGTCATATTGTAATGGCAGAGAAACGCTTGCTATCCATTAAGTAACGGCAGTTCGAAATTAGCGAGCGTTGGGAACAGATGCCGGATGAAATGAGTGAGAAAGTCGCTGACATTTTAAGCGCCAAAGAATGTGAAAAAGTTGTTAGAAATGCGCTGAAATTAAGCCCAGAAGAGAGTACAAAAATTGTCAACTATGCACTTGAGAAGGGATCGAACGAGCTCGTGGGTTTTATGGGTGAATATTTCAAGTTGCGAGTGCAAATAGCAGACGAGGTAAGCAAAATGCTGTGTAAAAGTGCATTTCTTAAAAAAATATTATTATAATCATAAATGCTCAGCAATCACCACAAGGTATACGAGAGCTTTGTTGTTTTGTAAAATCGGTGCCCGTTTCAAATGAATTGCAACGTGCTGAGTGTGAGCGCAAGAATTTTTTTCGCAAAGAGATCTGTGCCTACACAGCGATCTTGCCGAACATACAAAAGTATGGTGAGTATAATTTGGCATTTCATTTCAATTTCGAAATCTTATTTCCAATTGCGCTCAGCCACCACAAAACTGTCTGCTGAATGCTACTATACGAGGGGTGATTTGTTGGTGCTTGAGGATCTCTTCGCTGCCCATCTAGGCTATCGGCATCTGGCCAGCGATGAGCCATATACGAACAGGCATATCAAGCTATTTCTCACGCACTTGGCACAGCTGCATGCCGGCAGCATTGCATGGGAGGAAAAGGAAGGCGTCAATATTGGCAAGCAATTCGGGGATTCTCTATTTGARCTGRTGTTAATTGCAGAAAATGAGTGGTACGTCACCGGCGCAAAGGTAAAGTGARATTGAACACAGTTGYAGCAATATTTAGATATACATAYAAAGGGTGTTTTTTTGACTTGCGATTGAAAGACTTGTCGCGGATAGCTCGAATAAATTCCAGTCCAGAAGAACAAGTTTCGATGATCACTTGTTGCAGCTATTGGGGCCGTTTGTCAGTAATAGCGTGCCGAGTATTCTATTATAGAGCTTGGATGACAGGCCAAAGTCCCAGTGAGTTAATACGCTCAACCAATAGTTCATAGTGCTTCAATAACGTCCATCCGTTCCTCATTAATGGGCAGCTTCATTTTTGAAGAAATTTCGACCAATGATTTACTCTGCACATAGAATATACAAAACAATGACTCTTTGATGATGCCACGGAGTCTCATCGCGTGCTTTGGCTTCCACGCCACTGTTGACAGTCATAACTTCGAAGTCGTAGATAATTTCATCTATCATGGAACCGGTAATAATACCAACAACAATRTCAGCCTCTAAATCCAAAGCACAATAACTCTTGCCAACAGGTGCTACTTCGRACTGAGTAGGCAGTTAAGAAGTAAAATYTCMTCYCGACGAATAAAGACCCAAKTYTACAAGTTACTCATCATCCYCGGCATGCTATATGGTGCAGAGGCATGGATGATGACAACATCTGATGAGTCGATGTTACGAGTTTTCGAGAGTCATGTCTTCCGAATGGAAACACTCCAGAGTGTTCGACGAAGTACCCGCTGGGCGAAGCAGAGGAAGACCACCAGTCCGTTGGAAACGCCAGGTGGAGAACGTAAGCGTTGTCTACGCGAATAAAGGAAGAAATAAGCCGGACCGGTAACAGATTAACGGGTGTTCGGCGTCAATTCTTGCACGAGTTTGATTATGTAAGTCCTCAAACCACGATCCTTCCGCAAATCTTCCTTAAACTGGATGGGCACAGCTCGCAATTGGGGATGAACTCATTCCGGCATTTGTGCTCGAACTATCGGCTCTGCTGGACGATTATGTAGACCGAAAATTGGACAAAACGCCCAACTCCAAAAAAAAAGTGTTGTCTAATTGAAAACGACACATTAGAGAAGCACCCGCTTAATTAGTTTTGTTATAAAGTACCATTTCCAGAAAGAAAATTTCGTCTATATACATTGACTTTTCTCATGGCATGACAGTACGTTCCCTTAACTTGTCAAAACTTTTTCTTGACTATGAAGTATTAACTAAATTTAACTGCTCAGATTAAAAAATTTTAAATTCTTTTGTTTTCAGGGAATAATTTTCCTTGCGAAAAATTACGGAAAATTTCAAACACCAGAGAAACAATCCCTCATCAATGACAAGCTTTTTGCGCTGCTTATGGACATGCAAAAGTATACGGAACCCTCAATCACTTCTCGTAATGTTTACTTACATCGTGACTCATGGGATCGCAACATATTTTTCAAGTTCAACACAAAGCATGAACCAACTGCTTGCTGTATTGTCGACTTTCAACAAAGCCGATATGCACAGCCTGGCTTAGACCTACTATTCTTTTTGTATGGCCAAACCACAGCGAGCGAAAGAAAGCTGCATATGAATGAGTACATCGAGCATTATTTTTCCGCGTTGCAAGCGCGCTTCACAGAGTTGGATTTGCCGGCTGATATTATTACTAAGGCAGAGCTGCTGGAAGATATACGTCGTGCTCATTTGCCCGYACTCGTTAATATGGCCATTACTAAGCCGCTGACAATGATGCCAGACGGTTTGTCTAATAAGTGGCGTGCAGAAGAGCAAGAAAAGTTCGACTACTATATGAATACGAAACGTGATGAGTTTTTTCGACGTATCATGGAAATGGATCCCACCTACCAGTCGAAGATTATGTGGCCCATTGAAGAACTCATCGAACATTTAATACAAAATCCAGATTTGTGTCAATAATTTTTTAATTTTTATTAAATTTATGATATTACATATATTCTTATTTACATCACTTGCTACAGCAACAACAAACGTATCATTTCATCAACACACTCAAAAATATAATCTCGGAATGCCTTATCGATTTTAAGCAGCTCAAGCACCTCTGCCACTCGATCTACATTTGTATAGCGATGGAAAGCGTCCGGATGATTCAACTTCAAATCTTTTAAGTAATCTCCCGGTACTCGCAGTATCGTCGCTGATATGCAGTTGTATAGTGCGCCAAAGAGCTCCAACTCTTTCAGCGACTGCTCAAGTTCGCTCCGACTAATTTGCTCCGCTGCCGTTAGACCCTGTTGCTTTAGCTCCTCAGCGAAGTAATTATAGTAGCTATCATAGCACCAGTCTTTCATCGTTTTTCGTTGTTGTGGTGTTATATTCATATACACGGCCATGAGCACATCGATCGCAGGTGCACTATAGCGCGCCAGTTGGTAATCTACGAGCACGACCGGTTCTGTAGCGGGTTTCGATTTATTAAAAAAGAAATTGCCACCCCAGAGATCGCGATGGCAAAAAACATTCCGATATTTCTTGGATGGATTTACCATTTCGTATACGCTGTCCATGTGTAGCGGCAGCTCTTCGGCAATAAACTTCTGCAACGTCTCGCTTTGGTAAACGGGATGGACGCGGGCAACAGCTAAGATGGCCTGCAAGAAAATAGTACTGATAATATTCGAATAACTCATTCTCAAAATACTATATGTTCGAGTATATAGTATTAAATATTTCAAGATTGCAACTTTTATAGCAAAAAAGGGAAGAAAAATATATTTGTCTTGATTTTGATCGATCATGCTGAATGGCAGCAACTGCAGAGAAAGGCTCCGTGCAATATGGTCTGCAAGGTTGGCTGTCTTAGGTGAATTCCCCACAAGAAACTCCGCCTATGCGACTCTGCAGCGAAACTTATAACATCTACACAGACGGGCTACAAATGGCCCATGGAGAAGGTGCCGGAATCAATTGCTCGGAGCTGGAGCTGAGGCGACCCTTCAAGCTGACTTAGTACTGCAGTATTTTTCAAGCCGTTCATCTAGTTGTCGAATCCGTTAAGAAAACTGGTTGATAAGGCTGAGTTGGAATTCGTTAATGACATGAAGAATCGCTAAAATCAGAAGTAAAACACACGTGCTTTTTACTCACACGGTCTCTAAAGGTCTGTTGCTCTAATGACAGTTCACAACCCACTGGTATCATATCCGAGCCGGATGGGCATAAGTAACGACGATACATGCGGAAGGTGCTGGAAAGTAGGCATGCTTCTGTTCACCCTTATCCAGGACTCGCCTTAGCTATTTTGGAGCTTTGCAGCGCCAGGGTCTATATGAACTATCAAAATTATATAATAAGTCGCTTTTTAAGTTTGCCGTTGACGTCCTGTATGGCAAATACTCCCGCCCGAATTAAACTGAACCTCCGTCAAGAACAACAGCCGGCCAATATAAGCTAACCTGCCCCAACCTATAGCGCTCCTTGTAATAATAATTTACTCTGACGTTCGTGAAGCTATCTTGTCAAATAAAGATGTTTCCATTCATGGACTTAAGTGAGGTCGCTCAGTTTATATGACAACTATATCCTACAGTTATCCGATCTGAACAATTTGTACGGAGACCATAACGTTTCCTCCCTTTGGAAAGGAATCTTTGCTAAATATCTTACAAAAGGCGAATGATTTAAGAAAACTTAACTATTATAATGCTGTTAAAGCTGCTACGAGAAATAATAATGATATATGCGGATCCCGCATATCTTATACTTTTTTTGAGAATATGTTGAAATACATTGAACATCCCAAAAAAATTAGAAAATATTCTTTTTATTCAAAACAAAAAAATCGCTAAGGTATATAGCACTAAGAGCGATTGAGTTATCTACTTAACACTTACCCTCACTCCCGCGGTATAAAAAACCACATCTGGTGTAACTGTCATCTCTCTGAGCACATCGTGTAGCTGCTCTCCGATATTGACTTGATTTCGCGTTTCGTATGTGATACTATAAGCATGCATGATGGCTAAGCTTTTCAATAGCACGTCCATCTGTGCTTGTGTGAGAAATTCCGCGGGGTCCAACAGTGGCTCATAACCCATATCGACAATATTTTGCATGACAAACAGATCTCTGCGGGTAAAGTAGCACTGAGCGCACCAGACCGACGGTGCTGTAGAAGATAACGGATATACATAAATAATAAAAAATCTCTATTAATGGGCATAATAATATTAATGATAATGATAACACAAGACATAACGCATAAATGGCAATAAAAAGAAGTCAGCAGATAATAAATCTAAAATTTATGTATCAGTTCGTTGGATCGATATTTGCAATTGTTGTTTTTTTCCAACAAACCCAAATACCTGTTATACTCACTCAATTTTCTTAACTCATTTAAGAGTTGCTCGTAGATCGCTGCCTCTTTGGTAAGCATGCCACAAGCTTCAATAAATGCTGTCATCTTAGGATTTTGATAAGGCAAGGATTTAACGAACACACGCGTTGTTTGAATTGCATCATTTAACTAGAAATAATATCAGAATTAGGAATTTTTAATTAATGAGTCTAGAGACGAGCTTATGTGTGGAGAATTTAATTATTGGCGTCACCAATTTTAGTGATGTAGATGTAACGGAATTTTATGTAGTTCATACGTGTTGAGTTAGGCGTGTGGACTTTTTGAGTAGTAAATATTCTTCAGCTTCAAATAAATAAACAACAAAAAACTGTCGAACTTTCATAGAAATAGTAAATAAAGTGACCATTATTTCTGTCAAAATGAGCTTCAAAACAAGAAAAAACGTTAATCTCGACTAAACCACATATGCAAATCAATTGGTATGTCCAATACACTGATTATAGCGACCCTCTAACTTTTTGGTACCATTTTTTTGTAGTACGTTATGTCATTTGCTTCAAAAAAGGTCTCTATTTCGACGATCACCTCTATATTCGATGAAAACTTTTCCCAGCGGGTATTCTTTGGAGATCTGAGAACAAGAAATAGTCGCTGGCGTCCAGATCTGGAGAATACAGTGGATCCAAAAGCAATTCCAAGTTCAATTCATGGATTTTCCCATCGTTTTCACTGACTTGTGACACGTCGCATTGTCTTGGTGAAACTACACTTTCTGTTTCTTCAAATGCGACTGTTTTTCAGCGATTTTGTCCTTTAAAGGGTCCAGTAACAGTTTGTAATAGTCGCTAGTGTCTTTTGCTCCTTCCTTTTTCAAGTTAGTCAATACAAATTATTCCATAGATATCCCGTGATACAGACCCATAATATCCAGCCAACTTTTATGGTTTGCCGCGCTTTGGAGCGCGTTCAATGTGTGCAGTCCACTCGGATGACCGTGAATTGGACTTCGGAGTAAAATGATGGAGTCACGTGTCGTCCATTGTCACATATCGATGCAAAAACTCGTATTTACTACTCGTGCACAGCTCTAAACTTTGCTCTGAATCATCAACTCGTCGTTGTTTTTGGTCCAAAGTGAACTCGCGCCTCAACTCTTTGCACAGAGCTTCCTCATATCCAAATATTCTTGAATGACACGATAAACACGTTCAGTTGACATCTTTGGAGTGCCTGCTTTCTCGAACAAGTTCACTTTACGCCATCCAAAATCATTTTGTGGACTTTGTTGATGGTTTCGTCGGTAAAAACATTCACAATTTTCGGTGCTCACTTCACCACGTCTAAACTTAACCTATCAATCGTTGATGTTTAATTTTCTTGGGAGAGTGTCCGTAAACCCGTTATCTAGTCAAGTTTTTGCTTCAACAGTATTTCATCCCTTCATGTTCATGTCATATTTTATCAGCACGCGAAATTCTTTTTTATAAATTTTTTTTTTTTCAGAACAGAAGTTGCTTCACTCAAAATTATGTAATTCACTAATGTTTCGAGAGCTGTCAAATACTAAATTTGCCATGTCTTTTAAAGGTTAGGGCTAACTAAGAATAATCTAATTCTATTATAGTTGCGTCATTTATGTGACAGGCCGGGTACTTTTCAATTGACTCGTTATAACTTTATATGACTTCCGAAGTTTCCTAAAAAAAAATAATTATTGCGTCATTTATGTGACAGGCCGGGTACTTTTCAATTGACTCGTTATAACTTTATATGACTTCCGAAGTTTCCTAAAAAAAAATAATTATTTTAATTTTTCATTGAAAATAGCACTTTTTCAAAATGAAACACCCTTTATGTGCGGCAGTTACCCGTAGGTCAGTGCCACTCAAAACGGCATTACCTCTAGAAATTTGTATTTTAATTCCAAATGAAAATATTCGCCTAAGTAACCAGTTGGTCCACATTCTGGCGACACATTATATTCCAACAACGAAGCCGCTACATTTGAGTTCATTATATTGCTTAATATTTGCTCGACTTCGGAGCGTGAAAAGAGCTCATTTGGCTTATCAACACGCGTGAGCGTTGATGTCGTCGGACTCATTTTTATCACTTTTGCAAAAGCTATTGTGCGACGATACTGAAGCGCTCGCAGTCTCTGAATGGCAATCAAAACCAACGAGTACCGTGAAACTAACTTGTATACTCTGCGCTTGTATCAGAAAAAGTTCACAAGCATGTTCACGTCGTCGTCGCGTCTCCACAAGCGAATGGTAACTAAATCATATGGTTAGTTTACTCATTACTTATACTAATCAGTTATAACCGAAGATAAAGAGCGATTTTTCTAATTTTTTTGTTTATAAAGACGAGGGTCAATAGGAAAGTAATCACTTTTGTTTTGTTTATTGTAGTTTCAAGTGAATCTTAGCGAGGGATATGCAAGATCAGTTATTAGTTGTTCCCACGAATCGGTTCAAATTGTGTTCAGTATGAATATTTTATATCTCACAAATAAGAAATTTCAACTTATTTAATATGGCTTTATTAAAACTTAGGAAACTAGTGCCACTGATATCTGCTGGCCCTCGTCACCGCTAAGGAAAAACACCATATGAGTAACCCCGAATGCCAGCCAATATATGGTACATACAAGTGAAGTATGAGGTGTCACTACGGATATGGTACCATACTCGACTGAACTCAGACTGAATTAGTAATGTGACCGAGAAAAAAAAAGATTCATGAGAAATTAAACACAACCTTTTTATACACCAGTAAATAGGAATGGATCTGTGATCGATAATTTCCCCAGCGATGTCTACATATTCACCGGCGGGTTAAAGGTTGAAATCAGAACAGGAGCCGGTTTGTTCTACTATAATCCATACACAAAAGGTAGCTTTGAACTAAATTATTTTCTGACTAATATTGTGAGCATAAGAGAAGGTGACAAGTAAGTGGACCAAGTCTCCCTATCTTAGATTTTGCTAGATAAAATGTAGGTAACTGGATTATTATCATCTGGCTACCCAGTGGTATAGGAATAAAAGGAAATAAAAGTGTAGACAAGCTGGGCCACTCCGTGCAGCTATTCTTTAAGCTGCTTAGAGCATTCAGCACATCTCAGGTCTCGATCAACAGTACCACCGGGCATATCGCAAAGTTACTTGGGTCATCCATCAACAGATGACAGAAAAAAAGCTTCTACTTTTACGCAAAATAGAACTTAGTAACACTAAAGGTCCGAAAGTGGATTCTTTGTAACTTTATCTATGCGAGTTCCCAGCCATCTGCCATACTTAGATTTCCGTATATACAAATGCGGTCTTTGGATCCATTTTTGATGGTTAGATCGACTGCTTCCAAAAATAGAGCTACCTCATTTTGTTGGTAATAGTACATGTATTTCAATAATTCTTAAAAAGAGCGATTCTAGTACCCCAATACACTTGTGCCAACTTTTTTTCCCAATCATCGAAACAGTTGTTAAAGTCAATTTCCAAAATATAGTAAATTTAGAAAAAAACTCACGAAATATCATTGTAGCATGCGGCGGTGCATTAACGTGTTGCTTAAACCAAAAGTCGTCGGCCCTTATTTCCCGCCTCTTTTTTACGAATAGCATCACGCAAAGACGGATGCGGTCGATTAATCGCCTGATACAGAGTCATAAGCTTAGATACAAGACACATCGTCAATAAATTATAATATAGTACGTTTCATGACATTCACATGCGTTAACGCAACGCTGTTTTTCAAAAAAAAAAAAAAAATTTTGTGGTGTTGGAACCAATTGTGCTTTCATTTTTCTTAGGTCAAATTATCTTTCAAAATGGTTTTCACTGATCTCCCAACAGTTTAACGATGCCAGTAAAATCTTAGAATGTTTCCATGCAAGAATTTTTATCATTGATTTTGTATTGTATGCTATATTAGTCCGATATCGACGGTTCTGATAAATGAGCAGGTTCTTGGGGAACTGGAAAATTAGTTCGGGACGTCCGGACAGCGCTAAGTCGACTGAACTCGTCACGCTGATCATTTATTATGTATGTGTATATTATTTATAGGGTCTTGACATTTCCTTCTGGGTGTTACCAACTTCGTGACAAACTTTATATACCCTTTTCTATACATACTATACATCCATTTAAATATCTATTTGGTGAAAGTAAAATTAGTCAACACCACACCAAAAGTCATTTGGCAATTGAGATATCTTTAAAAAGCTCAACACAGTTGCTCCGCCCCTCCCAGAGATACATTGTAATAAATATAATTAATAAAAAAGTAATTAAATCGTATTATTTTATTGCATGATAAAGGTTGGTGAGTTGCTCTTATCAGTAGTTGACAATAAGCACACTTTATGGATGCCATATATCACTATCTAGAACAATATTTATATTTTGCTAACTCTAGGTAGATAACCATCAATGGAATAGATAAAATTACAAACAATTACAATAAATTCGTATACATACGAGCTTGTACTACAAGATATCCGTTCACAGCCTACTCAGTCTGATTAAAATTTTTTGTAAAAAACATAAATTTTTACAAAAAATTTCCAAATTTTTTTCCAAACATTATAAAACAATTTAAATAGTAAGCACAACAAGATTTCTCAGTCTCAAATCAGTACTTAAAATCGAAGGTATACTATATATGCAGCTTCAGATACTGATAACGTACTTAGAAACAGATGCCGAACTAATTATATGACTAGACAAGACAAGACAAAAACAAGAAGAAACCTTAATTTTGGCTCTCCCGATGCGAAAACAAAGCACTGGACTTTTAAACGATCACTTTGTACAGGAGCTAACGGGTTTTTCAATAAGGACACTACACAAATAGACTGATAGGGACAGCAAACGGCGCCATATATTTTTTTGCAATTTCATTAAGCAATGATATGCGATCCAACGACGAGTCGAAATTATAAAAAATTTACTACCGAAATTCGGAGTCAGTGGCCTCAACTTGAACAGCGCTACGTCCAATTTATGGTCGTCATAATCGTCCTGTCAGATCAACAATAGACCGTCTAGTGGACAAATTTGAATCCACAGGCGCAGTACAAAATCGTTCTTCTTTGTACTTCTTCCGTGATGATCAAGACCTACACGTTACTGTGGGTGGGAATCGCTACCGATGAATGATAACCGAATATTTTTGGTCCGAATTGGATGATGGACTTGGAAAATACATGATTCCAACAAGACGAAGCCACACAGCGAATATCACAATCGATTTGTTGGAAACCGAATTAGGGGAACGTGTTATCTAACAAAATAGCGCAGTCAAGTGGCCGGATGGTCGTGCCATTTGACGCCGTTAGACTATTTTCTGTGGGGTTACGTCAAGTCTATGATTTATGCCAACAAGCCAGTGACGATTAATGAACTTTGTATGAATATCGAATGTAAAATTGCAGCAGTATCGGCTTATTTGTAGCGTTTTTATTGAAACCCGCTTTATATGCTATGGTGGTCCGATTTGAATAATTTTTTCTGAGAATGCACCGTTGCTGTGGACAATAATCCATGTCAAATTTCGTGAAGATAACTTGTTGTTTCTAGATTTTGATCATTAAGTTCGTTCAAGTCTGACATCGGCGACTTCGGCAAATGAGCAGCTTCTTCGTAAGAAAATGACGTTGCCAAATTTCAGATCGATATCTTAGAAACTGAGGGTCTAGTTCGCGTTTATATAGACGGACAGACAGATGGACAACACTAACTCGACTTAGTTCCCCACTCTACACACTCTACTATACATGTTTTCTCCGTTTCTGTTTGGGTGTTAGAAATATTTTGGCAAACTTTATATACCCTACTCGGTATTTTGTCAGTTATTGATCTGCATCGTAGTCACCCAAATACCTCTATGTGCTGAACATTTCGTATTATAAGATTATAATATATCAAAAGCGACTAGTTCTATCATAGCTTTCTTCGCTCAAAAACTGCAATATATCACAAATCTGTTCCGCCATATACTTTCTGAAGTCGGGACAGTCTGCCATCAGTTTTAACACTGCATCAGTGCGTTCCACATGAACGTAAAAATTGGTTACAATCGCACGTGGAACATTCAGAATTGTACTGGCGATCGCTCTGTAAAGCAAACCGAAAAACTGAAATTCCCAATAAGATGTCATTAAATCGGAAAAAGAGAACGGCACATCAGTCTGCTCAAAGCCATTGGCGACGCAATCGCTTTCCAGATAATCGTAATAAAACCGCAAATACTCCATTTCTTCCGCTTTTCTTGTAGCCTTATCTAGGTTCATAAACAGTATGTATATCAGATCGATAGCAGGCGGACAGTAGCGCGCAGTTTGATAGTCCACGAACATTACCGAGTACTCGTTCGCACTCGAAGTGGCCACAGTGTTGTCGCTAAAGAAGACATTACCGCGCCAAATGTCGCGATGGCAAAGCACATTCCAGTACTTAGTAGAGCTATTGATCATGCCATACACGCTTGCAATGGCAGTCACAAAACGCGCTTCAATGGTTTCCCGAACAAAAGTAGGTTGCGCTTCTAATTGTGATGTAACCAAAGCGCGAATGGCACGTAACCCCGTGGTATACCACGGCACAAGTTGTGACACAGTGATCTCTTCGTCTAATTGTGGGTAGATGTCACCAATACAAACGCCTTCTATTTGTTCGAGCGCTAAACTGGATGCGTGCTGTGCAGCTAAAGTTCGTAGCACCTTACGCAAATAGTGTTTAGGAAGACATGCTTCGGTGCTGGGATACAAGGCATAACCCAATTTTTCCAAGTCTTCCAGAACAATGAGATCGTCGCGTGCATAGTAGCAGCGGGGCGACCAAGCAACAGTGGCTGTAAAAAAAGGAGAAATGATATCACATTAACAACAACTGTCGCACATGAGAATAAAGTACTAACTGGAGCAAAAGACAATATCAATATCTCGAGGTGATTTCTAATTTAAATCTTAGATATTTATTTGGTATGAAATTACTTCATATACAGCGCAGAACGCTTTGATATTTACCAACCAATGAAAAGGTAATTGTAACTTTTTCTTGAATTCACAACGTTTTCATCTACAAGGAGCGCTCGAAAGTAAACAGAATTTTTGAAATTTGAATGTCGACAGGTGTGTTTGAATCTGCTATCTTTATCGATTGTCCGGCCAAAATTTTATGACATTTCACTGATTGGAAGTAAATTTAATGCGTTTTAAGTGTCAGTATGTTTGTGTTATTGGTGCGAAAATGAGCTTCGAACAAAGAGCCAACATTAAATTTTGTTTTAAAATTGGTACAACTTTTACCGAAAAGTTTCAATGGATGAAACAAGTTTATGACGGTGGTTGCCTATCACGTAGCAGATTGCATGAGTATTTTCAACGTTTTCAAAGTGGTCATGAGGACATAAATGGTGAACAACATGTGAGTCAATCAAAAACCGTGATCACCGGAAATTCCATCGAAACTGTGCGTGAATTTATCAACATCAAAAATCAGCATTGAAATTAAATGGAATTGAACATCTCGAAAACATCGATTTATCAAATTTTGACCGAACATTTGGTCTTCCGAAAGGTGTGTTCCGCACCAATTGACTGACGATCAAAAATTGCTCAGAATCCAACAATCGAAGGACGATTATTTGACCAAAAATCACATTTTAACCATTGATCACTTCCCGTATTCACCTGTTATGGCACCGTGCGACTTCTTCCTTTTCGGAGAAATGCATTTGCCCATGAAAGGAAAGCGTTATGCAGACGTACAGGCCATTCAAAAGGCTTGCATCGGCATACTGGCGGCCACTCGTTCGACATGCTTTTGGACCGTGCAAAAAGCTGTAATGAAACAGAAATAGACTATTTTGAATAAAATAAGTTGATTTTGCTGGAAAAACCATTTGTTCTGTTTTTTTATGGTCCACTTTACTTTGGAAACCAGCTTCTACATCGACTACCTAGAGTATGGCAAAATATTGGCAGAAATATACGATGTTGAACCAGTGGCAGCTCCTATTCTTTTTATAAAAAAAATTGATCTTCTCATATGACCACTCACACCTCCGGATCGGAATGATTTCGGCGTAGCGATGAAACAAGCGTATCCTACGTCACTGTTGACAGTCATAACTTCAAAGTCGTAGATAATCTCGTCAACCTTGGAACCAGTATACTGTTAATACAACAAAGTCAGCCTCGAAATCTCACGTAGACAATTGGGAAGTTAAGTCCTCTCTCGGCGAACAATGACCAAACTCGTCAAGTCACTCAACATCATGGCATGGACGATGACAACATTTCATCAGTCGGCGCTAAGAGTTTTCGAGAGAAGAGTTTTGTTGAAGACTGTTGGTCATATACGCATTGCTCACGGCGAATATCGCATTCGATGGAACGAGATATACGACGACATTGACATACTAGATCTTATATCGGACAACTGTACCATATAGCTGTCATACAAAGTAAACAATTGGAATAAAGTCCTTGCATAGAAAACTTTTTTATCTTTTATCAAAAAATTTGGCATGGATTAATTTCTGGGGCAACGGTGGAGTCTCAGAAGAATTTTTTTCTTTATTTTACTTTTGTTATTGTGAAATAATGGATAAAAAGGAATTGCGAATGTTGAAAAAATATAGGTTTTTGAAGGAAAAGAATACAGTTGAAGCAAAAAATTGGCTTGGTAACGAGTTTCTGGACACAGACTTAGGAAATTCAATCATCAAGGATTGGTATGCTAAGTACAGACGTGGTGAAATTATCACTGACAACGGAGAACGGAGTGGACGTCCAAACGACGTTGACACCCACGAAAATATCAAAAAAGATTACAACATAATTTCGGATGCCAATAAAGTGAAGTTGTTCGAGATAGCAGACACTCTAAAGATATTAACTGATCGTGTACATCACATCATTCACAAATATTTGAGTATGAGAAAGCTCTGTGCAAAGTGGGTGCTGCAACAGCACACTTTTGACCAAAAACAACGACGAGTTGATGACTCGGAACAGCGTTTGAAGATGCTCAAGCGTAATAAACTCGAGCTTTCGTATCGATATGTGACAATATATGAAACATCGCTCCATAATTTCACTCCGTTGGTCATTCGAGTGGACTGCACACGATGAATCCGTTTAGTCGGCTGGCATAGTTATGGCGTTGCATTTTGGGATGCGCTTGGAATAGTTTTTGTTGACTATCTTGAAAAAGGAAAGAATATTGGACCATTTGAAGGACGAAATCGCCGAAAAACTTCCGCATTTGAAAAAAAATAAAGTTTTGTTTCACCATGACTATACACTGTGTCACACGTTAGTGGAAACGGTGGAAAGAATCCATGAATTGGACTTCGAATTGCCTCCTCATTCACCATATTCTCTAGATTTGGCACCTAGCGGTTATTTGAAAGAAATTTTCGTCGAATGAAGAGGTGATCGCCGAAATTAAGGTATATTTGGAAGCGAAGGGCAAATCATAATAAAAAAATTATATCGAAAAGTTGGAGGGTAGCTTAGTACGAGTAGTTATTGTAGTGTATCACCCTTGCAGGGATGTTGAATAAAAAAAAAAAACGAATTTTGCCAAAAAATATGTTTTGCTGTAGTAGGGCTTTCCATTTGACCTTTTAGCTTCAGTGCAACAGAAGTTCACTTCTTTTCACTTTTATGCGTTTTTTTGGCAATGTTCTCCCATTTAGTAATTTGCAAGTGGTTATAAGTTGCTCAATTACGATCAAGAGAATTACTCATACGCCAGCGCAAACAGCTGTGCCAAGGCGTATGAGTAATGAAGGAAATCAAAATTTCTTTATCATTTACTTGCGTTACAGATTTCAAGAAAATTTCGGAAAAGTGAGTTGTGTGATGGAAGAATTTACAGTAAAGAATCCTCTGACAAATCTCTAAATATAATTTAATAATTTTCAGTTGCTCAAAGAAGACTGTGTTTTTGAAATAACAGTGGCTCCAGTCTTAATATTAAGTGAAGTGAAATAGTTACTCACAGTATTTCCTTAACTGCTGCAAGAGTGTTGTATACAATGCCGCCTCCTTTCTGAATATTGCCTCCTTCTCTGGCTCTGCGCTGGCCTGTGGCACACGTTTGACGAAAGCATGCAGTTCGCACATTTCGCGCCCAACAGTCAGCTATGATTTCAGAAACAACATATGTAAAAATAAGTTCGCACGCTTTCAGCCTAAAAGTATGTCACACATTTGGCTATTAATGCCAAAACTTACATTTTTGTTTTCATCCGGCTCAGCGACGCTGTACTGCACGAGCAGATGATAGTATTCGCCAAGATAACCACTAGCATTCTTGGCTGGCGTCAGTAGAAAGTCTTCTAGCTGCAACTTGGAGTCCGTTGCGCGGGCTTTCTCAATAATTTGTTGGCATTCGGCGTTTGTTAGCAGCTTTATGGCTGCAGTTGGAGCAATTTTGTCTAACTCAGTCATAATTTTCGTTTTTCTTGTTATTTATGTAACACTAAAAATATTTTTTTTTTGTTATTGTAAAAATAAATAAATCCACTTTTGCGTTGATTCCCACTGCTTCAGCGTTACAAGTTGTTATTCTATTTTATTTAGCTGCTCTAGGTTTTGGCGACCGTCCAAATTCGTACAGCTTCTCGAGTCAACTGTCCGCCGCCGATTTTTATCGAGCAATAAGTGCTACCTACATATTCACTCTTAGATTCAGATATTTACATATGCGAGCACATACATATGCACATGTGTACGTATATATGGCGTTTAATACAGCTGTTTTTATTTTGTTAGTTTCTAATTGCATTTCGCTGGTTTGATAAGAAACTTACATGCACATATAGGTAAGTGAACTTTGGTTTGTCTCTTGTTCGATGACTAGGTGCATAAATCCAAATGAAACAGAGTGGATTTACTTACTACGCCGGCCAGGTCATGTCGTCCGAATGGATGAGAACACTCTATTTCTGAATGTATTCGACGCAGTACCCGTCGGGAAAGCAGAGGAAGAGGTGGAGACTTTAATTTGTGCCAAACAGCGAAAAGGAAAAACGGCTGGTGCGGTGTCTACACCAATAAAGAGATGTTTTATTTACTAGAAGATGGAAAATCCCTGAGAGTACTCTCCCGTTATTGGGAGGCTCTATTTTTCAACCAGTGGAGAGGATACTTGCGCTTATTCTGAATAGGAAGCTCTCATAGAAACTAAATATCAAAAGAATGAAGAAGACATCGGTCGCTTTATACTGTTATAGAGAAGCAATTGGGAAGAGGAGGGACCTCTCACCAAAATTGACGATCTGATGTGAAAGCGTAGTTGAGGCAAAAATGTTTTATGGGGTCGGTGTTTGGTGGAGGGCGATCGGAAAAACCGCACTTGCTATGCCGAGGGAGCGTGTTCAAAGAAATTCACTCCTCGGCGTCTATGGTGCACTACGGACAACCCCATTAAAGGCAGTCCATGTCATTTCACAAGTTGAACTTGTAGACATAGCTGGTAGGTACTTGGCGACGAAGACAGCTGTTAGACTTAGTGAAACTGTTTATATAAGAGAAAAACACTGAATCGCAGTTTCTTCTCTTCTCACACATCTGCGAGGGATTTGTGGGTGGGAAGAAGCCATTGGATAAGAATTTTATGGATGAACCGAAGTAAATATGGAAGGTAATATTAGGAGTCTTCTATCGGAAGCTCTCTGCAGCTTAAGTTTCAGACTGCCTGACCACTTCGGAGTCTTACAAGCGACGGTGAGGGTTCAGCTTTCTTCATAGAGGTGTGCGTTCACTCCAATAGCCGAGTAAACTAATTAGACAGTGCATGACCTCTTTACCAATAGCTGCAAACTTCTTCCGTATTAGACTGCTTTAAACTGCGTAAGCTGTGAGCTTCCTTAAGGGGGTAGGATTTCCCCAATTTCATCCAATAGAAATGTGGTCGGTTTCCCGATGTGTTTATGAGTTCTGGCCTTGGACCTTTAGGTTCTCCAGTAAGATCATCAAGTGTTGGTCGACAACAAGAACGTGTGAGACTAGACCATAAGAGGTCCTCCGATTGTTGGTGTTCTGACTGGACACTGTCTAATAGCTTTACATGCAGTGCAACTGCATATTTTGTCGAAGTTCTTTGCCAAAGCTGTTTGGAGGATAGCGAATCATCTTGTCAATTTCATCCCTATTGCCCTTGTTTTTCCAGACTGAAATTGAAATATTTCGGTAGACACACTTTTAGAGACCCTAGCGGAATGGATGGTATTTATATTAACTGCCTTTATTTGTTGTAAGCTCAAAACGTCGATCCATGAGATTTGTTTATCCACTTTTAGAAGTTCAATGACAAATATATGTCCAAGTGAAAAATTTTCTTCGGAGATTATACCGTTATTTTGGATAATAAGGCATACCAAAATCTCGTGAAGGTATCTTGTTGATTAAAAAATTTCCATGGAGATTTGGGTCTGTCAGACTTTATGGCAGTCACATGTTAAAGTTGTCCGATATCAGTGACTCCGACAGATGAGCAGCGCCTTGGGAAAAAAGCACGTGTGAAGAGTTTCAGACCAGAACCAAATATTATTTATTTCCAGCTTACGAAACACTCTAATTCAAATAGGTATTTCTACTGTTTTCAATGCTGCAAAAATCATACATCTATTTCTTGAAGCTAAAGTGACTTTATTTATTAATATCGCCTGAAATTAGTGATTCAGAAATGTACTTATGAAATCAAAAGGCAAAGTAAAGCGGCATGAGATGTCTGTGTTTGCATTAGTCATCACTTCAGCAGTTGCTTTTTATGAAAACTGCATCTTTCGACGCAATTGTCGCTTCTCCGACAGCATGGTGCCATAAGGGCGTATTGTAATGTAATAAATAATCTCCACGAAGCTCAAGAGACTGGCGCCAACGAAAAGGCCGGTAGTGCCGCCAATTGATACTGAAATAATTGCAATAAATTGAAGAATTGTCATTTACTTTGAATCATATATACAGATTGCAAAGAGAACTGTGTAGACTTGTGTAAGAGAGAGACAACCATAAATAAAGTCATATACATATACTTGTAAATCAATGAAAATACATAAATCACATACCCACTAGATCCAACTTTCCACGCACAACATTTCGTTTATAGCGCTCTGTGGGCAATTCAATGAGCGAAATCTCAACTTTTGCCAATGGATTCTGATTCTCAAAAATGCTGTATTGAAAGTATTTATTTAAGTATAACTTTTGGAGGAATCACTGTAAGCTTTCCCAGTCGGCATTTGAAAGCAGAATTGCATACAGTAGGAATGTCTAAACACACTTTCCACTACCTGTCAAATGCTAACTGGGTTGTAATATTTACATATTGTTTACTTTTCTTTGCTGTCATGCACAGTAGAAATGTCAACTTCTGTGCAGGAGGGCAGACAATCACATACCAGCCCCTTGCGTCCACGCGACCACTTGGCAATGATTACCGATAAATCTTCATAATTGCGATTCAAACACTCCAGCCCATCCATATTGCACATCTGCCAATCTGGTGTGTTCGGTGAAAGATGACTGGAGCAGTTACAGAATTCTATCTGGCGATCCTTGCGACACTGCACCGTGCAAGCGGAATAACTATAGTAACGGTGTACATCCAAATTATTTTCATCGCTAAAGCGACAATTGCGCTGAGCCACACTCGTTGCACGAATTTGATCGTCGTTTTGAATATCGCGCTTGGATATGTGGCGACTAAGAGGGAAAGATTGTTAAACTGTTTATTTATCTTTTAATTTTTTAAGAGATATTATAAAAAAATGTGATGAGGAAGTGATTTATATACATAAAATATATTTTAAATGATAAACTTACACAAATGACACATACGGCCCAACCAATAGGTAATCCGTTTTCGGTGTAACAAAAGTGGGCACCTCCTCCTCACCAAGAATAAAAACCTTAAATTCAATAATAACAGAGAATATAAATGAGTGAGAAAATTTATACTTCAAAAGTACAGGGTGAGATATATTGTTTGTCAAAAAAGTCTTGCGGTATTTTCGCTAGTTGGCGCTGAGAGCGCGTAGTTCTAGTTTTATTCGTCGCACCGGGTCATGCTATACCTTTTTG